CTAATGAGACTTGTTTCAGCAATCTGATGAAAAAAAAAATATATATAATTTTCTCTGCCAATCTTTGTCTGTATTTGCCATACAGGATCAACAACCCCAACTATACATAACCACTTAATTTTCCTGAATTATTTGTTCTGAATGAGGTATTTGACACCAAAATGTCTTTATTTTTGATGTAATGAGAAGCACCAAATAGAAAGACTTGTAAATGAATATTAATACATGTATCATGCTCTGCTCTACATTGAAATAGTTTGATCTGTGTTGCATTGTTGTTACTTGTGGTGTCTCTTTTTAATTTTATTTTTCTTCTTAACCTTTATGAAAATGGAGCCAGATTTATGCAATCTTGTACATTTATATGAGTTTGATGTATGGAGCTGTTAAAATTAAGCAAAACTATTAGTAGGAAGTCAAATTAATCTAAACGTTGAACCAGCTGGTTTATGTACTCTAGAAATTTATGACATGTTATTTTAATATCAAAGCCAAGAATTAATGAATGTATTGTTCTAAATTAGATATCCAACTAATAGACTAGGTATTATGAAGCGCAGTTAATTGATTATGATGTAGCATTTAGTTGTGAACTGCTATTCAATAAAATATATTAGAACATTAAAAATGCAAGTTTTCAAGTTTCTATTTGTCAGATTAAAATCATTTAAAGAAATATACTTTTCTTCAGGGTAACATGGGACATTTAATGAAGACTGTGTCAAATTTAAGAAAACTGCATCTCATGTCAGTGAGTTTAGTCATTATTTATAGATTATATGTCCCGTCTTTGTGACAAGCTGTATGGATATGTAGGAAAATTTATTCTCATAATTGTAGAAATTATACTGTTTGTATATTGATATTTTTTGTGTTGTGAACACAAAAGCAGGTCCAAGTCTTTAGAATATTAGATGGGTTTTTTTCTACATTGAAGATTGTGTATCACATTTACTGTAGTGTATTACTAGTTTGTTAACACTTGTTAAATTGTTACACTACAGTTATGCAATGGTTTACAGAGTTCACAAATTATTTTTATCATCTTGAAAATTAAAATAATTTTTCATCCGAATTGTGTGAATATTTTTGTCCTGAGAAGTTCCCAGCTCAGTTTCAGAAAATATCACAGATTTTGAAATGTTAGTTAAGGACAAATATTTATCGGTAAACAGTGACTTGAACTATATTTAGATTTATTGCTAAAGAAATATTTATATGGATTTGTCATTTTGAGAGTACATGTAGCAGGAAAGGAGGTGCCGCAAAATCATTGAAGTAATTTTCAGACTATTGAGCACACATCGCACTGAAACAAGTGGCGGATTATAGTCCTGAAGTTGCGGTATGTAAAGAACTTTTATATCACATATAGATTAACACAGATGGTCTCCTCAGACAAGACATCAAATTGATAACATGGTATTATGTTGATTGGACTTAAGAAAATGTGTATCTACATGTTTATAAATAAATAAATTAACTTTCATACACTGTATTTGAAAATTTATTTTATCAGTAGTTAAACCTTAAAAGATTAATTTGATAACGATTATTTCTTTATTGCACCTTCTTTGGTTTTTGGGTAAGACAGACACATAACAAGCCTCAGGAAATCTTACAGTAACAGAAATGTGTGTGTATAATGTTTTATAATTGCATACATATGTGCATTACCTTATAGTTGTTTTATCCATCTCTTTTGTGGGATGAGCTAAAGGAAGGGACAATCATTTCCTCTTCAAAAAAATTATGAGACAAAAAATAAGGCATCACAAGATGAGTAGCTATAAGAAATCTAATTGTGGGATAAAACTTGGTAATCAGTGACTTTAAAGCCACTTTCATTACCTTTTCTCTTCCACTTGATGATACCAAGAGTATTCTTCTGACCAGTTCCCTTTGCATTGTCCAGGTTGCTCGATCTGCCCTCCACAAGGTGGCAGCCTGCCCTCAGCAGCTGCTCTGCCGTCTCCAGCTGGGAAGGTTCTGGCAGTGTGGTGGAGCATTTGAGGGCATCAGCAGACAGGTCGTGTGCCAGACGGCTACAGATATCATGGACCCTGGTTCTAATAAACAAGCAAGTGGAACGTTTGTGTACAGATTATAAGGTCACCTGGAACGAAATCATATTTCAACACCACTTCCAGGAGAGTCCCTGCTAGAAGCCTATAAATATTTAACCTAAAGATGCCTGCAGTGTTAGATGCTTTGGTTCAAATGGAGTTTAAAGGTCATTACTGAAGCATAAAGATTCTTTTTTTTACAATGATAATCCATCAGAGATATAAAACAAAAATTATATGTTAATCTTATACAAGTTTTATTAAAAGCAAAAGAGTGGCCACACCTCCATTTGATCCGAATATTGACACAGCTGAAGGAGTTTTCTGGGGCAGATTCAGTATGCTGCTTTGTTTGCGTTCCATGCAGCCCAGAGGGTCTAAGGACAAAGTCAGTATCTGAAAAAACAACAACAGAGCTAATTTATTTAGTCAAAAGTACAACCAAGCTCTCAGAACTGTGTATCATCAAAGATTCGTCACAAACAGTGCTCTGTTTCATGGAGCTAATCTCAGAACAGCAGACCACTTTTGGGGAAACTGGTTTTACATCATTAATTGCTTGTTGATAAGATAAGGACAATTACACTTTTTGAAAACAATATAAACAACATTCTCAGTTTTAACAGTGTCTAATACAGGCTGTCCATATATCCTTTATGTAAAATTAAGACCTTAAAATTCTGTTTAATTTTTTTTTTCTTCATCACAGGTCTTACACATTGTTCATGGCAAAACTATTTAATCTCTTTGTTGTTGTTCTTGTGGGACCTTTCTGTCAAGCCGAAGCTTGAGTCGCCTGGGAACACTTCTTCACTACGTTCTGTGACTCCAGGTGGTTGAAGGTACCAGTAACAAATTGCTAATACATCCTTGATAGCTAGCTAGCTGAGAAATGTCTGCTTCGTAATGGACTCTGTTGAGGTGTTAAATTTACCCAATTGCTAATGTTTGTCCATGTAATGCTACATGGGCAGTTTGAAGCTATGAAGCTTACCAGAAATTGCCTGCATTGTAAACAACCACTCTCCACGACAAAGTATCGATCTGAATGAAGAGGCTGTTAATATTAATTCAATATTGTTAGAATGGCTTCACTACCTGTATTGCAATTTCTAAAACTACAGGCAGACTACAGTTCTAAAACGGCGCCGAAAATTTACGTCATCTGTGACAACTCCTTCTGTTCGCTGATTGGTCTGGTAGAAATATTACCCGAAAAGAATACAAGTGAAGGGGAGAAAGCCTAGACTGTGCTTTCGGCGAGATTTTATTCGAGGAGAATTGACAGGCTCGTTGTGAATAGATTGTACCTCAACAGGTTGACCACAGGGGCGAGTTTTCTCGGGACACCAGTTTTTTCGTCACATTTTCTCTGTCTTTGTGAGGTCATTCATGCTCAGAAAAGATGAGAGAGGCTTATCTGAGAGCGACCCCTGGTAATATGTGAACACAAATGTCCACACTGCTGTTGCACAGCTGTTCCCTCACCTCGTCAGGACTGAGCTTCTGGGCCTGGAGACAAGTCAACTCAGGCAGCCATCTCAGACCACATCCACCATGTTGTTTATATTCTAAAAATATATCGCAAAATTATAAGCAAGACAATGGGTTAACGCTAAATGTTTGTTTGGAAACATACTCATTACCCTTATAAGCTGACCTTTCAATCACAGGTACTCAGACTAGTTCCCAGAAGGGATGCACCGATTGCAGTTTTCTGGCCAATTGCTGATGACTTATTTTTAAAAAGACAAACACTTCCATATTTCTTTAATTTATCTCCCTAAATTAAGGAAATTGGCCCTGATAAATTGGCTGCCCGATGAATCATAATCCCAAATTTCTATTAAGATGTAAATTATTTAATTTATGAAAGCAATCATTTACTAAATTAAATGATTAGTTTATAAAGACCTTTGCTGCAACAAGAACCTAACTTGTTGCACCAAAGGTCTGAATCCTTTTTATTATATTTTATTTCATCCATTGTCTTTGAGAACAAACAGTTGCCTTTTTTGATACTTTTGTGCAGGGATCACATTTCAGGATTTTATAGAGTTGCTCTCTTTCAGGCAGAGAACTAAATTATGCTATGTGCCTTTTCATATCCTTTTATGTACATTGCCCAGGTGCTTCTTTGCCTGCCTTTACAGTTTACAGCAGCAGCAGCTCTGTGTCCTAACGCTTTCAATTGCCCTTTAAATATGTCATACCGTTTTTCTGAATGTACAAGAAAATGTACATTTAGACCCTGATCTACAGATTTTTACAACAGGAAAAATGTACAGATTTTTTCCTGTACATCAGGAAAAATCTAAATGATTCTCCTTGCTGACAGGTGAGTCTCGGGAGAGAGGCTGCAGAGGTCTGAAGCTGCATCCTCTGCAGCCTCAGAATACTGAAAACCCTGTGTTTGGAGACAGACAGCAATTTGCAGTGGCAACAGGTGTCAAGTGAATGTGTTGTCACTTAACATCACTTTTTCTTAAAGCACCCAAAGAAGCTTAGTCAGGAACACAACAATGAAATCGATATTTTTTTAAGGAAAGACACTGGCTCTGTCTTAGTTACAGTTTTATATTGGTACATTTGTTTGTTGCATCAGTAAAGATCTGCAATGAAACAGGCTCTAGTTCTAGTTCAGTCATTTGAAAGTGCAGTTCAAAAGAGAAAATAAAGAATTTCTGATGATGAAGTAATTTGATAACCAAATGAGTCACAGTATAATTATTGATGACGTTGTAATAATAAGTTGGAATCAATCCCACAATTGATCATGGGATTCAGATAGTTACAATTGTCTAGTTTTTATTAATCTTTTAGTGACAAAACATCACCCTGAAACCTTTTTAGTATCATAACTTTATTCATAATCAGATCAAATCAGTGCAATTTTGGAAATTGTTACAATAAAAATAATTGATATGCCTGAGCTTTGAGAAAAAAAAAATAGAGTTTTATCAAAATAATTGATAAGCAGTAATAATGTCAACATCAACCCTACAATATTGCCATGCTTTTTGGTAGTTAATTGCCTAGAAAGCATTACACATACATACAGGTGAATCATTAATAACCTCTAAAAATGTTTTTAAAACATTTGACTTGCAATTAATTGAATATGTGGAAGAAGATGCATAATTTATGTCCACTTTAAAAGAAAAAAAAACTCAAATAGATGATCTGGTTATACAACTGAGTTTAAACAGAGTCGTGCAGGAAAAAAAATGTTCATATTGTTAAGTGTTTTTTTTTTTCTTTATTTATTTTGACAGCAGACCTGTTCAGATGCTGGCTGTGACTCTGCTTCGAGTTTCCCTGAAAACCACAAGCAGAGATCCCTGTGGATTTGACAGGTCAGTCGAGGGCAGAGGATGATTTTGGGTTCTTGAATTCTGCCCTGCAGAAGGTTGATAGAAGTATAATAATGTGATATATATTGGTACACTAAATATACAGACAGAGATAGTTTATAAGAACCTATGTTGATGTCTAAGGATGGTGCTGGACATGAAAATTTGATTGGAGATTTTTTTTGGACCGGACATAAAAAAAAATTAATAATCACAGACACTATGAGTCCAGTCTGACTTGTATATCACAAAAAAAAGTAAACAAATAAAATACATGGAAGTGCGTGGTTGAAATGTGTTTAAAATATAACAAATTTCAAGGTTTAAGAATTCTTTTGCAAAAACAGCATGGGGTAAAAAGAAATAATTTATGGCTTTATTGCATTCTACTGCTGCCACTAAGAATCTCTTTCTGTGACTAAATCAGCCGAAAACCGTAAACATTAAATCCGGAGTCTAGACCACAGTGGAGAATCTTTTGTGTTAGAAGTTGATGTTGAAAAAAGCTCCTGCACACCAGGACAGCTGTTATCTGCAACACAGTCCAAATGAGAAATATTAAAAATCTATTTATAGTGTTTGATTCAGATTGCCTATGCTCATCTTAGTGTATGATGTCCTTTTCATCAAAAAGCCCTTGTGTTTCCAGATCTAAACGCCATATTTAGACTAGATCTACTCTCAATAACCTAAACAACACAGACAAACAAAATGGTGACATATAAAATAAGTATAAATAAAACAGGGATTAATTTTTTTATCTAAAAAAAATTTTTTGTGCATTTTTTTACTTTATTCCTTCACATTTATTGTAAAACATTGATGAGCAAAGGTTAAGACTTGCAAAGGTAGTTTACTCTTTTTGGCCAACCTTGACTTCAGGGTTAAATGACTGAGCAAGCCTGCTGAAACATACATAAACAAAGTAACACAAAAAGATGACGCAGCAACTTAGTGCTTGTTTACTTTGGCACATGCAAACTCATAAAGTTAATCAGTCTTCTCAGGAGCTGGCTGCTTCAGATCAACAACCTGGTCAGGTGAAGAGTTTTTAGCATCTTGCTGATTTATTGGGCACATTCTGGTTTATGTGAACTTTCTTTCTGTTCCCTGCTGGTCACCATCAGAATCTGCAACATAGTTTAAGAGATTTGTTTATGATAAGCTCAATGAATAATGATAAAATACTTGTATTTGTTGTGTTGATTCTTCAATAAGAACCATACCAAGAAGTTATTTGAGACTTCCTGGACTGCAGAGCAGAGGACTGTTTTTCCACCCACAACTTTGCGTGAGTCATGGGTACATGCAAACTCAACAGAGTGACGGTGCTTGTCCTTTTTTTTCTCTCCTTTTATATAATGAGTATATGTGTTCCCTTTTCTCTCCACTTCTTATATATTTTTAAGAAACAGTAAGTCAATAATTTACCCCTGAATAGATATAAAACCTGAACCAAAACAAAATTAAGAGGTGAAAATGTATCCAGTGCAAAAAAGATTTACCTGACCCATTTTTGGGTCCCAGAATGCTCTTTAAGATTGTGGAGGTGCTGTTTTTTCTCAGAAATGTGTTTCCAGGTAACTCTGATGAAGAAATTATGGATTTTTCTTTTTCATCACAACAGAACACTATAAGTCGATACAAAAACATCAGCACTCCTGATGACCCAGCTGCATCTGTTCCTCCATATTTTTTCAACAAAATCTTTTGTCTTCAAGGCATTTAATTTCTTTATTATACATTTTCAGTAAAAAAACAAAAAAGGTAGGATTACACTTATATTGCCTGGTATTTTAAGTTTCTTAATGGTTCTGATAAAGCCAGTTTAAAAGAAACAGTCTTTGGTTGATATCCATATATGATTGGTTGTCGCTAGCATTTAATACAAAAAAATAAGCTAACTAAGCTCAAACTTACAAAATGCAAATTAATATATCAAATTGTAGTTGTCATTGCTATATCAATACAAGCCGCACTGGAGCTACAAAGGACTACTTGGATGCAATATTTAGTAGACTATTAGGTTTCAGATCTGATGCATTAACAGTGATGGAAACACTGGGATGATTAACAAGAAAGTAGAGACAAAATATAGGTTACACATTCTCAATATCCTCATCAAAATATTGAATGACAATAGTGTAATATTGTAGTTTCCTAAACTAGCTACATAATCGAGCACAGTTTATGGCCAGTTTTCTAAAACATGGATCAAATGTGTAAGGTATTTAATTGTAATCATTCTAAATTATATTGCCCAAAAAATAATTGCCTATAATTTTTTTTATTCTATTGTAATTTATTTCCTCTTTTCAAACACACCACAATTTTTTTTTATTGTAGTTCAGAAATGAGGCATTTAATTCAGTTTCATCACTTATATTTAAATTTAACGAGACTGATTAACCCAACAGTCAAGTTTTTGAACTTATGCATATGTAGATAAGCCACACATGCATAAGAATATGCAACACATGGAAAAAAAAAACAGATTTGAACCTAAGATATCATTGCTGCAATAAAACAGTGCTACCAACTTCATCACTGTACAGCCTGTCTTCTGAACATAATACATAATGTAAGAGTAAATCATAATTTGAAGAGCAATGTGTCAGAAGACATAATTATTCTATTTATATATAGAGTATATGGAATCCTTATGTATGTAATGGTATTTATCAACACACATAAAAATGACCATAGTCTTTCCTAACAGTAAAGTCTTTGTCTCCTCTACTTTCAGTATACTGAATCTATGTTTTGGCCAAAGGATGTCAGAGTTCATCTTCATCAGACAAAAGCATGGTTAGATTGAAATATTTTAAAACAAGGGATTTCCAAATAGGATACTGTGTAAATCTGATTTTTATCTGTGTTTGTCTTCTGTATTTAGTTAAATTTTTCATATGAAAATTTACTGATGGAAACTTTCCATCATTACAGTGTGTACTTCTTTTTTGCTCTCTTTCTGCTTTTCAAACATAAAAGTTAACAAGAGCACAATATGTCACACATTCAAATATTTTATTAAATATCTTCAGAAAATTTATCTCCATACAAGTAATAAAACTTACAATCTTTACTGAACTGACAAAGTTAGTTTCAAAGTTTTTTGTGATAATATCCTTTTTTTTTTCCAAATAAAGGTCTTTCTAAGATCTGATGTTGAGTTGAATATACAGACAAAATGTAATCTGAACCAGAAACACATAGTCAGCTTTTTGTATCAATCAACCAGTCTCTGTAACCTCAGCAGCTTCGGAAGTGTTCACTGCTCACATCCCGCAGGTCCTGGTCAGCTGCATATGGTGGGCTGGTGCATGTGATGTTGTTATATATGGTGATTGTACTATCAGGTTCTTCACCTTCTGCATGGGTCTCTACTTGTCGAGGGATGACTTGTGGTTTTTGCAAGCTGTAGTTTCTGAGTGGAAGTGTGGTGCAGTCACATTTCCATTGGTTTCCAGACAGCAAGAGTTTCTCCATGTTCTCTGAGAAATCGATGACTAAACTTGTCAAGGCATTGGCTCGCAGGTCCAGGTAGCGCAGCCGTGGAAGTACTTGTTTTGTTCCATTCTGCAAAAACTGATGACATTCATTGTTGGACAGAAGAAGATACTCCAGATTACTAAGCCCAGAGAAAGTTCGATCTGTAAGCACCTCCATCTTATTGGAGCTTAAGTCCAGTCCTACAAGTCCTACCAGACCCATAAAACTGTGATCTTCCACCACAGAGATGTTGTTCTGTTGAAGGAAAAGCCTCCGTAAACCAGAGAGACCGCTGAAAGCTAGAGCTGTGATCCTCGTAAGGCAACCTTTGTCCAGATGTAGGCTGTGAAGCTTTGACAGAGTTTTGAACATTTGGTCAGGGAGACTTTGAAAGCAGCTTCCAGATAGATTGATGACAGCCACATGAGACAGGCCAGTGAAACTTCCCACATGCGCCTCTTGCACCTGATTGTAATCTAGCTCTAGAACCTCCAGATGGCCAAGTCCTTCAAAAATCCTCTCCCCTAGAGCTCGAATCCTGTTGTAACTGAGCCTTAGTTCTTCCAAGTACTGCAAGTCACGGAAGGTTCTAGGCCTTAAGCCAGTGATAGAGTTGTTGGAAAGGCGCAATACATGAAGACTGCTCAAGCCTAAGAATGTGTCTTCATGTAGAGAAGTCAATTTGTTGTTTTTCATGTCGAGCCATCTGAGCGATTTCATGCCTACAAACGCCCTGGGTACCACACTTCCAATCTGATTCTGGGCCAGGTAAAGTTTTTGCAGCTTATGGAGTTTAACAAACACATTAGCTTTGATAACCTTGATGTAATTTCCTGTCAGATCCAGCTCTTTAAGCTCACCAAGATTTTGGAATAGTGCTGGTTGCAAGTAAGCAAGTCTGTTACCCGCAAGATTCAGTTCTCGCAAGCTATGCAGGTCTTGGAAAACTGTCTCTGGCAAGACTGTGAGTGAGTTCCATCCTAGATTGAGAAACCACATGTGCGAGAGCCCAGCAAACAGTCTTTCGTCAATACGACTGATGTGATTGTTATGTAGACTGAGTGAAGCAAGGTTAGGTGTGTTCTGGAAGATTGAACCTGGCAACCCACGGAGACGGTTTCGCTCAAGGTGCAAGTGTGCCAAGGATCTGAGGCCTCTAAATGTCTGATGGTCAAGGGTCAACAGCTGGCCATTCTGTAGATTCAAAAAGTCCAGATTGCTTAGATCCCTAAACGACGCAGCCGGAAGGGAAACAAACAAGTTTCCATCTAGCCAGAGATAATGAGTGGATAGTGGGATGTCAGCTGGTACATAAGTTAAGTTCAGAACACTGCAGTACACAATGAGCTCCAAGCTGTAGTCATCATGCAGACAGTTGCAGCCTTTTGCACAGGGAATTGGATCCTGAGTCACCTTGTCTCCAGCTGTGTCTGGGTCTGGCAACACCGCTGATGCTCCCAGTACCAGCAGTTCCAGCAGTATAATGGTGTGCATTCCAGCTACGGAGGGAGGATTAATATCAAATCAAAAAATAAAATCTGTTTCAAATCTGTTGATGTTAAATTAGTTGCAGTGACAATGCATTAATTACTTAAATGTCTACTGTATCCTGCTTACCTTCAGGTGTTGAGGTCTTGATTTAAAGTGGAGAAGCTGTGAAACACTGAATGACTGATGCTTGTGCAATTGTTTGCATGCTGAATGGAAAGAATGCCAAGCCCTCAAACTTTTTTTTAAGTCAGCTGCACTGAATGTGCACTATTAACCCTTTCATATCCATTATCCTTTTCTCTCAGTGTCTTAATATACTTATGTAGATATTTTTTGATAATATTGCTGATGAATTGTAAACAAGACAGTTGATTTTACTTTGCTGTAATCATAATTTGTGCTAATTGTGAAAAACACTTTCATCAGTTAAAGCTTTGAACTGAATATTTCTTGAGAGTTAACTAACATTAAGGCACTCTTACTGAGTGCAAAATGGTACATTTCAACTTGTGGCTAAACTTTTAGGTGCTATATGAAACATTTAACTATCTCGGTTTGCTGAACATTTCATATATATCATCAGCTGGAAAAGGAATAGCGTGTTGGTGGTTTTGCTGCTCTATTTACTCAGCTATCCTGAGTCTGAGGTCCAAAGGTTCCAGAAGTCCATGTCCTAATCACATAAATGATTGGAGTGGATAACATTCTGTTTACTCTTTTACGCGGTATCAGAGTTTATTTATACAGTCATCAAGTGGTCATGGTCTGAGGAACAGCAAGTCTGTATAGCACTGTCTCCTTGCACATGAATTTTATTGATGTTGTTCAGTACATCCATTTACACATATTTAATGTTTATCTTTTGGTTTATTTATTTGTTTATTTGTTTTAGACATACATTTCTGTTTCTAAGTAATGCAAAAACTGTAGATTCTAATGACATTGCAATAGCTGCAGTTTAATGTGTTTTAGCTTTGATTATTAGGTACAGCAAATTAGGTACATACTTACCTATGTAAGTATGTGTGAAAGTATTTGCACCTAAGAAATAAAATTTCTAATTGTTTTCTTTTTTTTGCAGACTTGATTGGATGGCTGATAATATATGGCCATCTGGCTAAATAGAAATAGCAGTTTGCAAATGATGATTTAATCATAAAAGCTATCCAAACCAACCTGACCATATGTGAAAAAGAAATTGCCAATCCATCAAATTTTTGTAACGTCTTGCGATGAATATTCTACGTCCCTGTGGAGGAAATTCTGCCCATTCTTCTAACTGATTGACCAATTTGGCAAATCAGCTGACAGTGAGTCAACCCAGATAATTTTTAAACAAATGCAAGACCTGCAGAAACACAGAAACATTTTGATGCTACTGCTCAGTTGGCTGCAAAAACTAAATTTTTCAAAGTGCAATAGCGGACTTATGAATCGGAGTGGAGCTGCGTGAAATGCCTTGATAGGAGACATTAAAAAAAAAGAAATCTCCACCTGACAGGCTAAATTGAGGTATTTTCACTAGAAACACAAATGTTGTTTGGCTGGACAAATCAGTACCAAATATACTATTGTGTAATCCCATGATATATTTTGACTTGTTTTAAATTTCTAAAGTCAACTACTATAGAACAAGTGGAGTTTTTTCTGAATAGCTGATTGTCTTTCATTGCTCTGATGATTTATTTAATTTCAAATAAGCTCACGTTGAAATGATGTCTTTCTTCTAAAGGAACAAATACTGATGTCACAGAATCTCTTTAAGTAAAATATGGCCTAATCATCTGAAGTCAGTGATGCCTGGAGTGACCATACATTGTGCTGGGTCCCTTTGTCGCCTCCTGGATGAATCGTAAACCACTCTTGGAATAACTTTGGTTTTCTGCCCTCTCCTTGGAAAGTTCACCACAGTTCCATATTTTCTCGATTCAGATATAATGTGTCTCAGAATTTTTTTTTTTTTTTTTTTTTTTTTTGAGTCCCAACAGCTTAGAAATTGCTTTTTAATACAGTCAAGATTAACCGATTTCAGATATATTTCTTAACTGTTGTTGAATTTCTTTAAACCAGGGCATGGTTATTTGATTTTCATTATCTTTTAGTCCACATCCTGTTGTCTGGTTCTATTTAAGGGATGCCCTGATTTTACGAGGCAGACAGTTGTCAGGCCTGTGTATAAAAACAGGGAATCTGGAAGAAGGCAAACATCAATGTATGCCTCTAAGTATATGTTTCTATAATGTACTGCACAAATTTTAAGGTTTAATTTGTTGTCCTTTTGTATTCATTTTAACATTTCTTTGAATTTATTTGCATGAAAAAAGGTCTTTCTCATTGAAAATATTTCAGATTCTACTAAAGGTGACTCTTGTTTGTATAGTATTGCATAAATGTCATCACATTTTGGATTCTTGGATGATTTAGTAAATGACAGGCATTATTAAGCTTATATCACAAACTAAAAGGTTTACATGCAAATTTACCACTAAGCAGAAATGATAGCTTAGTATTATCAACTACATATTCGGCTTTTTGTGGAGATTTTTCATTCTAAATATTAATAATTAAACTGCTTTTCAGAAAAATCTCTTAGAAAGATTTGCCAAGGGGTAACAATCAAATCCTTTTCCTAACAGAAGTACAATAACTGAAACTGCAGCTTTCTCAGAAAATTACCTTGTGCCCTGGCTGCTGTAGTGAGCTGTTCATGATTGTTGCTCTCCTGACAAACACCTCTAATTGGCTCATTTTGTGGTGCTGAGCCATACACAAAGGTTTTCTTTTGAGGGCTCCCTGAGTGGAGAAGAGAAGTCCTAATAGTGAGTGCCAGAGCCTGCTGGTAAGTCTGTAAATTTGACTGGTCTCTCCCTTCTTTAAAGAAAAAATATTTTCTTAAATCATTCATAATACATGTTTTTCTTCAGCAGCAGAGGGAACTGAAAAGCACAATGTGAGTCCAGTTTGAATGTGTTTCTTAATTGCTAAAATTCTTCATGCCTTTTCAAACTTCAGCAAATGAACAAAGGTCAATCATACCTTAAATGGGAGGTATAAAATATTGTAACTGCACAGAGAACTCAAAAGTAACCTTATTCTACTTTTCTCCTTTTCACCATATTCGCCTTTCGAACATAAAACAATTACTGTGGGAAATGTAACAACACCATGACATTTCCTACTAAATGACACTTTTATAAAGTGATTGTATTGAAACACAGCTGTCATATTCCAAGTGGGACCCATAAAAGTCAGCAACAGGCAGTAAACCATGAATTCTATCTTTGAAAACCAATCAAGAAAAGTCTTAATTGTTTCTTTCATGCTTGTTATTCGGCCCTTGGGTGTGTATAATGCTAGTCTCATCTATTGAACATAGCTTGGTTTTCAGCCTCTATAAATTAGGTTCCTGTACACATGTAAGAGCTCTACCGTTTTAATTCAACACTGCCATCCACTGGTGGATTGTTGGACAGTGTTCTATTTGTGAGTAATTTGGAATCATTTCTAAGAAATATTTCCAAAACACAGTTGCTCTGTGGCCTTTCAACTGTTAAGGTGCTGCTGTTTGGTGCATCTCTGATCCCTGGTGCAGCCTCATGCATTGACAGCCAAGGAAGTTCAACACCCCTGCAGTGGCTATTAATAACAGTTGGAGCTCACAGTCAATTGCTGCTTTCTAGGAGGAGAGAGAATGAAATGGCTTTGTCTTGACATCTGTAAGATACTGGAAGTTAGCCACAGTTTGGTAATCAAGTATAAGATCAGAACGGATGATGACCCAGTTCAGCTTTGTGGGGCAGTAAGGGACTCAGATTTTATATATTTCATTATCAAAAACATATGAGGAGGATATTTTTAATTAGATTTCATTTGTAAAAAAATTGTGAACTTGTATCCTAACAGGCAATATTCACTTTGATATGTCTATGTCCGTTGTTAGCAAATACAACAACATGTTCTTATAATAACATTAGCATATCTTATCAGGATTCCATATGATGACTCAATGCAAAGTTGTACATTTGTGTAGCTGTAAAGTAAAAAATGTGGAACTATTCAATAGATATGAATGCCTTTGGAAGGCACTGTGATCAATACAGTATATTTGCTGTGTTGTGTTAGTATTACATTGCTGAGGTTACTCATGACAACAGTTATTTATCTATATTTTCTACTTAACACTCCTTATGGTCTGCCATTATATTGTACTGAAGCAATTAAGTTGAATTTCATAAGTTGCAACAACAAATTTAAATTATCAACAAATTAATTTGCTATAGAAGGCAAATACAAACATTATATTTTATTTATGTCAGTATGCCATGTGTACCGATTGCAAGCAACCACTTTCATAGGGAAACAAAACTTGAGGTTTATTTATATTGTCCTTCACTAGGACTTTACAGTTTCACTCTGACCCACTTAAGAAGCCTGACCCAAAAACATGATTTGAAGAAAACTACTGTGCTTGAGCTTGACATGCTTAAGACTTTTCCAAAACTGGTAGGAAAGCTTTTTCTTATTCACTTGAGTCTATATGCACCTGTTATGCCCACAGTAAGAACTCAAGCTAACCTTAGATTGTCAAGCCAACCTAAGGTTTGTGCTGGTATATTTTTTTGAGTTGAAAGAATCTTTCTGAAGCCTCAAATAAACCTCTCAAGCCCATGAAGGAAAAAGTTTCATTAATTCATCGACGTTTCAGCAAGAGGACTTGACAGCTCATCAATCAGAGCCTCTCTCTGTTTTTATTATAGTAACACAAAACAAGCCTTCCCTGTTCTACTGATTGACCACTTAACACATTGTATAGAAAAGTGATGAATGTTAGATAATTGCAAACCATTTTTAGTATTTATGTTCAGATCAACAGATATGACATGATAATGTGGATTTGAAAGACCCTTAAGAGCCTCTTTGGTGACCCAGTTGGCAGAGATGACCTGCAGTGTGGAACCCATTAATGGAGTGATTTCAGTCTGACATTTAAGGCTTTTGTTTGTTGTAAAATAGATTCCCGCTGAGCACTTTAGTAGATGTGTGTTTCAAACCATTGAAATCAGCCAAGCCATCTGCCTGGTTTTATAAAACAGAAAAAAGGGATTTCAGTCTTGCTCAGAAGAGCAAGACCACAGCGCTGCGTCTGCTCCGGCTTCCTCAGAAACTGTACTGTACCGCGTTACAATTTAATTTCAGACACAAAACCACGAATATTTATTTTTTGAAAGCATTTTGTACATTTTGAAAATGGATGTTTTTATTTTTTCAACATTTTTTATACATATTATTATTTCGAGTGAAATCACGTTTTACTTTACTGAGATTTTAGACTTTGAAGTTGAGGGGAGACATGACAAACTTTACAAATTACCTTTTCTTTAAGTGTTAACATATGTATAAAATAGAGCTTTTCATTCTGTCTTGACACAATAGGTATGGTGACATAACGTATTCATTACCATGTATACATCAAGTTCTATAGTTTTGCTTCCTGTGTACATGCCGCCTCAGTTTGACTTTCTAAAAGCTGTTTTTTTTTTCTATTAAGTTATTACTCTAATGTCAAGACTTTCAGAACCGAGCACACAGCTGTTGCACACCGTCTGACTGAACTGGGTTACTGTGCTGATTTAATTTCCAAAGGGAACAACCTTGTTGGTTGGAAACATGGTTTGCTAATTAACAAAAATGTCTCCTGGCATTTTAAAAAAATGACAGGGCTCCCAGAGGGTTGATAAAACTTCGGTTATGATTGAGAACCAGAATGTAAACAGAAGAAATAAGCAGTAAAAGTCCAACAAAAACAAATTAGAGGGATAAACAAAGCTGCTAAAACAAAACCATAAACAAATCATTACATTCCTCGTGTAATGCATTACACTTATTTACTGAATACAAAAATTTCTTTGTTTGCATTTTTCTTTATTGTTAAAACCCAACATTTTTAATTGCTTGATGATCTTAAAACAAAAATAAACATCTTTTTTAAGTGACACAAGAATCACAAGTTTTCAACAGACTTTTTAATGTGTGTTGAGCCATTTAAATCAACAGTAGCACATTTACAGACTGAGTCCTTTACATTTTAAGAACACTATGATAAATCTGGAATTCTCCAAACAAACACAAAATCTTTCAAGTCAGTTTTCCAATGTTTGTGACACTATTTAAATCAAGAATTACAAGAGTTTTCTTTAAATGTCTACAATTCCTGCATGAGGTGATAGTTTAGCAAGTCGTGAATTACATTTTTTAATTGAGGTAATGCTTTAGAGGGCTCATAATTAGAACATGACAGCTATGTGAAAAAATAATCACTCTTAGTTCAGGATTAGTCTTTTTCAGTATGTAACCTTCAGGTGTCTTATTTAATCAATAAACAGCCACAGGCTAGTTCAATTTGATTGGATTATCTTTCAACTACACATTAGAAAATACAGTGCAGTCTCCTTGAATATCTCAGTAGATACTTGTGACAGTAATTAGTGCCTCATCCCAACAATGTGATAAGTAATTTCTGCGGCTTTAGTAGTGAGATTACATGAGCATCAGACACGACATTTTGATTACAGTGCCCCCAGGAGTACACAGTACACATCAACTATAGATGGCATCTTGCTACCCGAGATGCATTTAGTACAGTCCATGCTGGCTCCTTGCAACCCCACTCATAGGGTTGCAAGGAACCCTTTTTTTATGATTAATTCTGGCTTATTTTGAGCCTGAATAATGCAGACACTCATACTGTCACTTCTGTCTTACTGTTGGTGACAAAGTAAGGTTGTGGAGGCATGTAGCGGGAGCTATGTAGCTCTTTCTCTGTGATGCCAGGCTTCATTTGGCCATAGCTCTGTCGAAGTCCCAGCATGTCTTTGCTTTGCCAGGATCTCAGCCCCCCTGGGCTGACTGCTATGTTGGAGATGTGGGACAGTGACTGGGAGCTGTGGCTCCTGTGGCTTTTGTACTTGTGTTCGCTGTGCTTCATAGAACGCTGTCTGGGTGGGCTGTAAGGATTTGGAGGCTCTGGCTCCATATCCACACTTTCCATTGGAAGGCTACCCTTAGCTGTCATCTCAATCGCTTGTCTGCGGTTGCTTTGGTAGTTGTCATTTGCTTTCTCTGCTAAAAATGGGGAAATAATAAGATACAATTATTATTCAGCTGTCATTCATCAATAACTGAACCATGTATCACATCTTACAGTGCCTTGCAAAAGCACAGATGCTCCCTGAACTTCACATTTTGTAATATAACAGCCAGAAGTCTTCAGTATATGTCAAATCCTTATTTTATATCCTAATAAAAAGATCAAACGTGTCTTGTCCATTCAAAACCTTTTACTTCTTTGCTTCTTAAAAACAAACACGACAACTATCTGCCTTTAGAGTTGGGTTACAGAACAATATCTCAAGCTTTAATCATCTCACTCAACTCTGTTCAATTAATCTGAACATGAAAAATGTATTGTACAATTCTGGTCCTTATTGAGAGATGAACAAGTGCCCAGAGCTATACTAGAAAGAAATCAACACTCACAAATGCTGTCAATCCAGTCTGACTGAGCTTAAGCTATTTTGCTATTGTTTTATTGGGTTTAGAGTAAGACTTTGGAAGACTGAACTCAATGTACTAGATTTAGTAGCATTGTTTAAATTCAGGTATAATAGTGGCCAAAAGGCTTTTTTTTTGTTTGTTTTGGTTTATGATATTTACTGTGCTGTTACATGGCAGTTAAAACAAGTACCATCTCTATTTTAGTGGATTGAGAATGTAATACAACTTCCTCCATATCTAACATCTAAAGAAAGATTTTTTTTTTTTATATTTCGCAATTGAACAGTTTCCAAGTATCTTAAAATCCTTGACCTAATTAATACTTTATTCTTTTAACTTATTCTATCATCAATACATTTCTGTATCTTTATGTTTAAAGCTCTAAATCTATAGTATCCTAACGAAAAGAGAAAAAGAGCTAGTAGCTTACTGAGTCATGGAGATATAGATGTTATTTTGTTCGGATGATTCTTGATGGCAGACTTTTCAAATTAGCACAAACCTGCTACTATAAATAAGCTCTCTGTTTCTTTCCATCCTGACATTGATGGACTATGGATTAATTTGTAAGGACTGCTGCAAAGCAAAGACTCAACTCCGAGGCTTTAAATAAACTGAATTTGGGCTTTGGAGAAGTGTTGTCTGTGTGCACAAATACACTGCAAATTAAATCACATTAAATGTTCTTGCAGTTCTCTCGTCTGACACATCATGCAAGGCAGATGACTTTATTAATATATGTATCAACATTTTCTTAGAAAGCATGTAACATCTCCTTAATTATATCAAAAAATAAATCACAGCTGTCCTGTTTTTGTTTCACATAATAAACTACTACTTACCCACAGCCTTCAGAGTGTTGTACTTGTTGAGATCCTTGAGTGGGGTCTGTTGTTCATATGGGCTGATAATCTGTCCAACTGCTGGATATGGCTGACCTACCAAAGTTGGAGACTGGGCCACATTGTTCATCTGATTGCTGTCTAAAAGAAGAGAAGAACAATTCTTAACAAAACATCCTCAAGCACGTCCGGCAGGTGCAGGACTAAAATTTATTCTATCCCATTGGTTACATTATGAGTGCTTCAGTAATTTTGTACTCATATTTCAAAATGATTTACATTTTTCTTATTTGACAGTGTCACATTTTTCTGAAGAAGTCTTCCTTGGAGACCCAGCTGGAAAATCTTGACTGGTCTTTGTCGCACTGAACTAATCCTATAGTAGACATCTGGTAAATTAAGGGGTATACAGCAAATAGACTGGTTCCCTGCCTCCCTGGCATGGCAGAAGGAACAGATGTTCAGAGTGTCCTCTCTTCTCAGTTTAATGAAAAATAGTTTAACATTTTAAATTACACATGGCCCCTTCGGGACTTCTCAACAGGCCTGCTGGCATCAGGTAAGAAAATGTGATATGAATTTTATTTTTATTTTTTTTAGCATTGTGATACGGATAATACGCGTGATAAATAATCATTTCTTTCTACTCAGGACTTGCTGCAGAGATGGATTCTCGGTAGAGGTTAGATTATGCAGACATAATAAAATATACATTTCAATATCAAAAACTAGTTTTGTTCAGCAGTTACTGGTAACTAAACAACTTAATCGTATGCCGTTATTGCACTAACAACAATCTAATGAAGCTGTATATTGTTGAAATTGGAAAACAGACTATGAAAGAATAACAATATGCACACACCTGTCACTTCATTAGTTACATTTGTTCTGTTGCTTGTAAACAAAAATTGGACATTAGCCACTCGCATGGCAGCTTTCCCATGCAGTTAGATATCTCAGCATGGTGAAGGCCACTTGTTGAAGTCTAAACTGGACAGCAGAATGGGAAATAAAAAAAATGTAAACGACGAGGAATGTGTTATGGTTTTCTTGTGTCAGATGGGTTGGTGTGAATATTTCAGAAACTGCTGATCTTTTGGGATTTTTAATCACAAATATGACGAATCGGTTAGAAGAAAATTGGCAGACCTGTTTAAGATAAAAATGCAACAGCAGTCTAAATAAACACTTACTACTACCAAGATTGTTCAAAATAATTTCCCAACATGCTGAAACGTGAAACAGATGGGTTCAAGCAGAAAAAAAATCACACACAGGTGTTACTGCTGGCAGATAACAGAAAAGTGAACCAACACAAGCTCACAAAAATGGAAAATAATAGACCAGCTGACTGTTGTCGAATAAATCTTGATTTTTAGCAACGACATTTAGATGGTAGAGTCAGAATCTGGCGTAAATAAAGTGAAAGTATGGATAAAGTCCTGCCAGTGGCTGCAGCTGGTGATGCAACGCTGCAGGGGATATTTTCTGACACATTTTGTGTTACTGATATTGCTGACCATCTCCACGGTTTTCTCGTCAAGTTAGTGTGATCAGTGTACCCATCTGCCACAAAGCAGAAATCATCTCACACTTGAGATTTTTTTTTATTTTGTTCACTTTTGCTGCTTTAAAAGTGCTTTCAAATAAAAGTTTGTCTTGGCTTGTTTTCCTAAGCTCGGGAATGAGTTCACTGTGTTCCAATGGCCTACACAGCCACCAGTTCTCAAACCAATAGATAACCTTTGGGATGTAGTTTAAAAGAAGATTGGCACCACAGATATACAGCATGCAAGACTGTGGCAACTGTTTCATGTAGTCGTGACAATGTGGACCAAAAGCTCTGACACATATTCCCTTGTTGTGTCCAGTTCAACCTGTATGAACTGGACAAATAAGTTTCTATGACCCTTCCAGCAGTCCCACTAGGATAAAGATCCTGTTGCACGGAACACACTGCTCTTCCTGAGAGAGATCTTCAGAGGTTTGATTGATTGGAACCTCTTTTCCAACATCCTAGAGCAAGTTTTGTCCTGCAAGTTTGAAGACGTGTCCTGGCCTAACACACCTGAATCAAATCAGTAATTTACATCTTCAACGTGATTCAAGTTGTATAGTCATTCCTGATTTAATATTGTTGCTGGTGGGTTGAACGATCAACACTTCTAAAGTTTGCAGGACATTGTCCCTGGAAGATTGGAGTTTGACAGCATAGAGTGAGATTTCTCAGTGAGTTCGAGAAATTTCTGATCCCATTTCCTAAAAATGTTGTGACTTTGACAACTTATCCCGAGTTGTCCTTCTCCATAATCTGTCTGAATTCCATGTTTTTGCTTTTGCAAGTATAGGAATCACTGTTCTTCTGGACACAATTACCACCTATTTCCTTATAGATAATAAGTCTTAAAGGATTATCAATAACAACCTGTGCTCTCTCTTTGCCAGTATCTCCAAGGCATACCGCTACAGGACTGATGTTACCTTACAAAATTGGTAATAAGCGTTTTGGCCCAATTTAAACTGGGACTATAGATCACCTTGCATACCAACATGGTGTTCGTTTTGAACCAATGATCAATGTGGTAACAGATAAAAAAAAAACTAAACAGTTTACATCTCTTCCAAAATACAAAATTGGGTCTTTTTCATTAATTGTATTGTGTGTTACAGCTTAGGAGTCGTGTCAGATCCGAAAGTGTACCAATCAGTTAATTATCAACAAGCAGCAAGGTCTCACTATTGTTGTTGACATCTTCTTTTTGCAAAGTTATAAAGAAGCTGAGTTCAAAAATCTTTGGTGTAGAAAGTGCTCTGATTAAAAACAGATTACTAATAAAGAAAATAGGTTAATTAGGCTCTTATTCCCTTTTGGTCAGCAAGAAAGTTTAATAATGTGCTAATTAATTTGGAAAGTCTCAAATTATCAATGCAGTCTTACAAAATAATTCAAGGGACATTTTTAACAAATGGTTAAAAATGGTGTATCCTATGCTGTTGTATCACAGCTGCTTCTCTCTGTCAGCCCTATTTTATTTATTTACTGCACTATCATCTGCCCTACACATAACTAATTTTAGCTTCGAGTGTTCACAATATTTTTTTCTTTCCATCATTAACCAAAGCTCATCATAAAATATGTAGGACAAGCCACTCTCAGTTTCACTTCCTTTTTCAAAACACAACCTCTGTGTTACATTTGTTGAGGCTTTTCTATATTCTAAATGCATCACAAACTTAAGTGAACTCAGCTTTAGTGCAAAAAGAGCAACTCTTGGCTGTAAACAATTCTTGGTCTGAAGTGTCATGACCAATAATGCCATATAATCTAATCAATACAATCTCACCCACACTGAAGATTTTATCACAAGTCCTGTGACCTTTTTATTTAAAAACAGAAATCCATCCTATCTGTGTTAAATTTTCAGGTTATTTTTTGAGTTTACTGACCTGTTTCCATTTCATTAGTAAGTGGGCCATGAACACAGGTTCTCATTTGGTCTGATCTCTTTAAAATGACAGTTTTAATCCTCTTTAGGACACAAAGTATTACATGATTTTCTAAATTATTCAACCAGTATTTTATTGTATTGCATATCTTTGCCAAAAGTCTTGGATGCATGATTTTAAAATAAGAAAAATAGTGGTGCATGTTCCTCCAGTTTCCTTCTGTGCAAGTTATTTTATTTTTTTTAAACTATTTTTGGGTTCTCTCCACAAAATTCAACGTAAGTTATGCCACTTGAGCACCTACCACCTGTTACAATCAAAACTACTGTATACGCTTATTAGCAAAATCATATAAACAACTCCCATCTATTATCAAATGGCTTAGAAAAGTTGTTCATAATAATTTTCTGACTTGACCTTTTTGTAGCCTGACTTGAATCTGAGACTTGTATGAAATTGTTTATCTCTAATATTTATTTGACAGTGTTGGCAGCTTTGTATCAGCTGTTTTGGGGAAAAGAAGGCCACTTTTGGAGACTTGTAAGATTGAAGACTCCATGGGTGATGGAGAAAATAAACTGGTTCACACTTAAGACACAGACACCTCCCCTGAATCTCATAAAATATTTAAGGGGGTATTTTGGGAGTTGAATACTGTGCAATAAATAGAACAAGGAGAAAGGACCTCTAATTTACAGGCGACTTCTTTCAAGCTTGTAATTAAGATGATGTTTCTTTTCTTTTCAATATCGTCGGACTTTAGAACTTTGAGTCTTGAGAAATTGGTCTGTGACTCAGCAGCATACAGAGCAATGCCCAGTGCTATTTGATGAAGCTCTGTGTCAGAATTCTTTTCAACATACATGAAAAGTGGTCAAAAGTTTTTAAAATGAGTTCATTAATGGATCGCCGTCATGTGTGCATGTAACATATATTCATGGGTAATTCTTCTTGTTCACCACGTCATTGTGCTGGTGTATATTGTGTTCAGAAACAATTATACACCTTGAAACTTTAGAGGGACACAGATGTTGATGTTCATTTGGCACATGTTTGGCCAATGCTCATACTGACACATACCAGGGATAACATATTAGTTATGTGCTAGAAAGAGAGAGGTGCACATATCTGCACTGTTTTGCCGGTGTACAAATCACATGCAGACTCAATGTTTACACTGCTAGAAAGATTGTTTCTTTGTATTTCACCAGTTGCATCTATTTAATAAGTTATCATTGTAGTGAAGTCAGCGCTTAAGTCTTTTTAAATGACAAACGATCAGAAAATTAAGAGAAAAAAAAATCAACTTTTTATCACTGTTTAAATTGCCCACGCTGAACTTTACCTTACAACTATCTTCCCTTTAGATTGAATATCGAATACAGACATTTTTCAGTATCTTTTTCTCAGTTGTCATCAGAGGTTTGCAGCAGTAATATATCTCTATATAGAAGTGAGAAAATGGCCTGTCATACATCGATGGATAGATGGCAGTGAGTGAAGACTTTGTTCTCTCTGGCTGACTCCTGCTGTTCCGTGTAGATGGGAATCTGATCAGACGTAAGCATGGTAGCACTGGAATGGCTCATAAAACCTGCATTACTGGTGTCTGAAGACAGTTGTCCATTCTGTAAGAATGTTGAACAAAGATTGAGCCTCTAAGTCACTGCTTTAAAGTGACTTAGATTTTTTCTCCAGAAAAAATTACGACTTGTCTATATTTTTAGAAAGCACACCAGTACAGTATTGAGTACGGTATTGATCAGTGCGGAAACAAATATCATCTTGCCTTCTAACCTGAATTGCTGTCGAAAGAACAAATGTGCCACTGAAACGCATTCAAGCGAACTTCAACTGGCTCTCTAAGACAAGGTCATGAAATCCTTAATGTATTAAATGTTATAAATTCTTAAATAAACATAAATAATGCCTGTTAGCAATTAAATAATTATGTCACACTTATAACAAATCATTTTGTTTTATTTACATTTACAAGTATTTGTGTGAATACGATTTGCCTTTACTGAAGTTAATTTTTTTGACTTTAGTTTTTTGTTGTTGTTGTTGTTTTTGATGATGTTTGTTTACAAATAGAAAAATTGACATATTATTTCTACAGTTTTATCTATCGATTGTTTATGCCAGCTAACGCTTATCCACTGCTGTCATTCAGCGAGAGGCATGGCATATTTTGGACAGGTCCCCAGTCCATCCAGACAAACAACCAGACACACACTCACATACGCACTCTGGAAATAATTACTTATTATTAAAAATATCACTATTATTTATAAAAAAGCAGCTAGAATTTCTTTAAATTTCCACTGAACCCAGGACATAATAATTAGACCAGAGATAATTTTGTTTTGATTGTTTTTGTTCATATGGGGTAGTATTATTTTCATTTTTAGCAAAAAAGAAGTGCTGCTTGATTGTGTATTAAAAAAAAAAAAAAAACTTCAATTCAACGTTATTGTTGGAAAAATGGGATTTGTACCATGTGGGGCTCTTCAGCAGATTGGCAGCGCAGATTGGAGATTAAAAAAAAGAGCTCTGCATGTGCACATCACTGTAGGTGTGTGTAGGCGTTGATGCTGATGAATGAAAGAACAAGGCTGCGCTAAAATTTATGAGGCCGTGGCCTACAGTATTGGCTAAGAAAGAGTTCTAGGCTGTCACTGGTAATTAGTGTCTGTGCTTGGTGATTTCTGATGGCATGACTAATGCGTTCACCAGCTTTCAGGATTTTCGATTGGGTGTTTTTGTTTTTCCATCACTTTGGATTTAATGAAAATTTCAGGCGAGGCAATCAGATATGCAGAGTGGTGATTATCTAATATTTTTCAACAGTCAGAGATTTCATGACTGGTAAATGCCTTTTCTTGTCTTTTGTCAAACTTTTGAAATTATTTAACATGGCAAGCATAATAAATAATGCAAGTTTATTTGTTTCAAGTATATTAATTAATTTGCAAAACATTATTTTTTATTTTATTTTATTTTTTTAAATCTAAGGCCCTGGTAATCTAACATTTATCCGTAGACATTAGCTTAACATTTCGCTCAACTTCTAGGTCAATTATTGGCTCTTTTCTTATTCACAAATACAAGTAATTACATCCGCACTCTAGTTTGTACTGTTTTATGGAATAAAATATTCAACCTTAATGTTACTATTTTTTTTATTCTGATTTTTTTATTCTGTACTTGCTTTCACGCAATTACAGCTACACAGGAATGCTTGAGCAGATTTTGCCATTCAATCAAGCATAAATTTAATGCAAAATAAAATAAGACACGTAGACTAAGGTCTGAAGGACTTAACACTGTTATGCTTAAAATAAAGAAATGATGCACTTAAGAGTAGAAAGAATGTTGCACTTGAAACTGCAAATATTCATTGAAAGTAAAAATATTGTCTGTGTGCTCCATGTTATTTGCTTTATATGGACTTTAAGTTTCCTATTAGTCCAACTGGCAGAGAAGAGTCTGTGGTAAAACCAGCTCTTGTGTATGATTATGATGTCTGCACTGCTTTCCCCTGAATTGTACTGTATCGGCTGCCCAGTTGTGTTTGTTGAAGGAATCTGGCTTCAGATTTTCAATAAGTGAAAAAAAGTAAGTTGTTTTTTTTTTTCTATAAGACAATCAAAAGACATATTTTTGCATCCATTCTGAGATTAAAGTAAACTGCAAGTCATGGATTCTGTTTTGTTCCCTGCCACTTTTTCTGTTTGTGGTTTTCATACGAATTCAGAATTTGTCTGAACTGATAAAAAAGAAGTAATAATGGATCAGAAGCACCGAAAGCATGGTGCTCCAAAATAAATACACTTAGAGGAGCTCAATGCCTTTTCAGAATTTATATGGCGGCCGGTTCATTACTTACGGAAATTGTCAAGTGCCAATCTTGTTTGTAGGTTCTCATAGTGTTGACTCAGACCAATGTCATCTGTATCTTCTGAAGCAGGATGGCGGATCACATGTGCAAGAGCTCTGAAGAGATAAAGAATACTTTAAGAGAAGTTGTAGTTATGTACATTAATGCACAAAAAGTCTGTCTGCTGCCCACCACAGAAAATTAAACATTAAAAAAAATGTACATATTTTTAATGTGCATTAAAATACAAAATAGTATTAACCTTCTAGTATGTCAGTGCAGAGTTCCTGTCAGACTCAGACACTGCAAAGTGCTGAAACCCAGTAGCTGCAAAAGAGCCCAAATCTTCAGCCTACCATCAATTTGGTTGACAATCATTATGAGGTATTTACTGATATTTGTCAAGTCATGTTGACAATTTTTCAGATGCAACTGAGCAAACTTGCAAGTTACACTGTAATACTCTTTTTTTTTTTTTTTTAGAAAAGAAGCATACTGTTTTGGAAAACCCTTCAAAGCCATCCATATCCAATCAGTCTTTGTCTACTTATTTTGCTTTGTGCATTAAAATTTAACATGCTATCAATTTAAGCCTTTAGAGTCTCTTGGGCTCCTGAAGTTTCTCTGAGCAATGCACAGTCTGATCTTTAGGTGAATTTTCTAAAATGTCCACTCCTGGCAATTGCACAAAATAATTTGTTTCATAAATAATCTTTTTAATTATAAATGCTGGACTTCAAATAGTTGGCAAATATCTTCTTCACCAATCCAAGATAGATGTACAGCAATGGTTGCTCCTTTAAGGTAATCTGTGTTGTCTTTCCCTCCTGACATTGTGGTAACACAAGCCTATGTTCCAGATCGGAAAGTTCCCTAAATCAGTGCTTTTATTGAACTGATCACAATATCACATATGCACTTATTACTTAAGTGCATATGATTAGCAGCACCAGCTGCATCTTTCCTGTTTATATTCCATGGGAACAAGTAAATGGCTCCGTATTATATATATTTTGTTTATACTGTGCAACTTAGCTGTAGGTTTCTTTCAGTCTTCTCTGTTCCTAATAAAACTTCACACCACATTAGTTTGGCATTTGAGGTAAGTTGTAAATATCAGCTATGTTTCACGTAACTGAAAAAAATCATTGGTTGCAAATGTTATTTTATAAAAACCTTTTTCCTATTCTTATTCTGTCAGTGCTGTCCATCAGATTACTAAAAAGCTTCCCTATCATACTTATACCTCTGTAAGTAAACACGATGCTCAAATATTCTGATTGCCTCGAAGCCAGCAAGAAGTTGAGTTCCTTGAACTCCACTTGTCATCACCAAACTGTGATTTTAAAGGACAAAATTGTGTTTCTCCACCTCACTGCGCTGTTGGGCATAGAAAGATGACATGTTTGGACATGTTTGGAACTGTTGTCTCCCCCTCATGATAAAGAGCGGTATTACAAAAAGCACATGATGGAATCAGGTCAGCGTTTGCTATTCAAATCTAGTCTTTAAGACCATGTAATAATCTGATTGGTCCTTCCATCATAAGTAATTGTTACATTTATTTACTCTCAAATGCCTGATAGGCTATGAAAAATTGAACTTGCCCTATCGAGATTAATATTTTGTTACAGTCTGCAACACCTTTGAACTTTAATTTTGGGATGCAGTTTATTTTAATAGTCAGAGTCTGCAATGACAACCTGGGATATGTCTCCATCAGCTAAACAATAAGTAAATGTTTCTGTAATTCTAATAAAATATAAATTCACGGGTTCACATGTGTTACAAACACAGCATTTTATTAAGACATTGTAATTATGCAAATACTTCATAATTGATCTCATTGTGTGTATGCAACCTTTGAGGAATGTGTTTAAATCTGTTTTAAGTTGGACATTTTTTTTAATGTATGGAGAGTACTGTAGGCTGACCATTAAAAAAAGAGTAATTTTTTTTAATGTGTAATTTTTTTATGATCTTTCGCAAATCTACATTACATGGCATGCAAGTATCAATGATCAATTTTTATGTAAGATTTGAAAATGGCTTCATGTTTATTTGTTTTCAATATCACAGTGTTAACCACTCAAAAACATTTGTTCTTTGTTACTTTAAAGTAGAATAATTTATTTAACTTCAACTTTGGTTAGTAGGAACTACAGATCAAATCAGTTTTAAAATGGTTCAGTTTTGTGGTTCTTCAATCTTTGACTCCAACCTCAAACTTCTTGTTGAAAATCCATCAAACTCTTGAATGGGCTTTGCTTCACAATTCGCTCTGTATTGTGGTTAACTGTGAACTTTTTTTCTTCCACTTAACTTCCCAATGCTGATCTGTTTGAATATGCAACACTCTGAACTGTCAGCTTCTTTAGCAATGATCTTTGGCGGCTGGCTCCAAATCAGTCTTTCCAAAAAGGTCAAGTTTTAGCCAAACTGAAAATATTCCGGCTTACAAAACAGTTGTTTGGCTTTTCATCGTAATGACAATCTAATTTATTCACACACACCTCTAGATCTGAATTGCGTACCTTGACATATTGTCTCTGTTTGGACGGTGCGTCTTTTCCAAACCGAGCTTGGTGAAAATCCCTATAAGTGCCATAATGGCCACGACCCCGCAGATGACATAGACGATGAGGTTGGTTTTATCCTTGGCGGACTCCAGGGCCACGTCCACTTTTGGCGGGGGTCTGCCGGGTGTCATCCACGGCGGGGTGTCGTAATTCTTACAGGTGGTCTGGTCCAGCCGGGAATTTTTGAACGCACAACAGAACCTGAAGCCACAGGTGCCGCAGCAGTACAGGTAGCTGCCCGTCCTGCACACGAACGGCGGGTCCCACTGACCCATCACGTCGTAATAGCCGCGACACTTCTCCTCAGTGTGCGGGGTCTCCGTGGATGCGCTCTCCCCCTCCGCTGACTCGTTGAACGCCGTTACTATCATGAAGTCATCCGCGGTTTGATCCAGCTCGCCCTCCGCGTCACACACCAGAACTTTCACCAGAAAGTAGCCGAGCAGCAACTCAGTCCCTCGCATCGCTGCTCTCTTTAAAGCCCTTCTTCAAGCCCTTAAAAGGTCTCATAAACCCGGTTGCATCTTCAGTAGCAGTTCCGCGTAAATTCTGACAGACAGATTCCAACCTCCATGCGTAAAAGCTCAGTGCCCCCTTGTACGTTATGTTCTCACCTTGAAGTGAAACGAAAAAATGCAAAGAGGCAGTTAAGGCATTGGAAGAGCAACGGACTGAAGCAAGCTGCAAAGAAGCATCTTTAAAGCTGTGCCCAAAGATATGCTGGAGGGAGTCAAATACCTCTGAGGCAGCCTCAGTCCACCGAGCGCGTTAAAGACGGACGGAGAGGAGGTGAGAAAGACGAAGCAGACACCGTGATAGAAATTGGGGAAGAGAGGAAGAGTCGGACAGAGAGAAAGCGAGAGAGAGGGAAGGCTGTGCGACAGCTCCAATTACAACCCCTTACAGCCCGTTATTATTGTGCTGTGTGGTAAAAATGCTCAGCACAGACAACAAACCCAAAACAAACTGAACACCTTTAGCATCTTTATAATGACAAATGTGTTGGAAAATATGAGTATTTTCCAATTTTTATATATATATATATATATATATATATATATTATATATATATATATATATATATATATATATATATATATATATATATATATATATATATATATAGCTGACTGGATAGCTCAATACATAAGGCATCAGTATATCACCCGAGAGGGCAGGGTTCGAATCCAGTCTGGGTCCTTAGGCAAGACCCTTCAAGCTACTGCCTACCTCATACCATGAGAGATACTAAGTTGCATAACATGCCGGCTCAGACGTCGCCCGGCCAAACAAGGTCTGCGTCAGGTGTTGGGGAACCAGAGCACCTTGATGACAAATGGGCTACTGGAACAAGACGGAAATGGGCGAGAGATGAAAATGTGGATCTGTTGGAATGCTACTACTCAAGTAACCCTAGTGAGAGAGGTTACATGCAAAGACTGGGGAAGGAATGGTTACTTCGACATCCCCAGTCAACACTAAGCGCTAAACAACTAGTAGCTCAGTGTTCCAACATCCGCAAACGGCAACTGCTATCACAACTTGAGATTGACGAGATACAACACAAATGCTACGGCAAAAGGGAGGAACCCGGATGTCAGGACTGTGGGGACTTAACTACAAGTCCCCACCCAGTGAGGGGATACACGGCCCCAATGAGCGAAACAGAGCTGAACGAGACAGCTGCTGACCTGAGAGAGAGAATCATGACCCGAATGACAACCAGGCCTCCCCGGCGCCAATTACAACGGCTGAGTGAAGTACCATCTGAAAGTCTCATTGAGAATGTGAATGCAGCATTGAGAACGATCCCTACCAACACCATAACAGAAACCAATGAGCTGATCTACAACTCAGCATCAGTGATCCTTGAGATACTTGGCTATAAGAGCAACCATGAGACCCAATACCCACCATGGAAAGACGGTTAGAGGCTAAAATCAAGGTAACAAGGAGGGAAGTGAGCCAACTGTCAGAGCTCCACAAGGGTGCAATGAAAAGACCAGTACCCAGAAAGTACAGGCAGATGCCCATACCTGAAGCACTCGAGACTGCCAAACAGAGGCTCCAAGCCTTGTCCAGCCGCCTAAAGAGATACACAAGGGAGAATGAATCCAGAAGGATTAACCGGCTCTTCTCCACTCAACCAGCTAAGGTGTACTCTCAATGGCAGGGTAAACATAACAACAGAGCAGACCCACCAAGGCTGGAGACGGAACAATACTGGAAAGGCATATGGGAAAGGGAGGCGTCCCACAACAGCAATGCACAGTGGCTGATCTCTCTACGAGAGGACCACAGCAACCTCCCTGAGCAAGCCATCACTGTGACAGATGTCCAAGAAAGAGTCTCAGGTATGAAAAACTGGACAGCACCAGGGCCTGACATGATCCATGCCTACTGGCTAAAGAAACTCACTGCTCTCCATGAGCGAATGGCAGCCCAAATGAACCAGCTGCCCTTCAGTTAACCTGAATGGTTAACTGAAGGGCGGACAATCCTAATCCAGAAGGATCCATCAAAGGGTCCAGTCCCACCCAACTACCGACCAATAACCTGCCTCTCCACAACCTGGAAGCTCATGTCAGGCATCATAGCGGCCAAGATAAGCAAACACATGGATAAACACATGAGCACGGCACAGAAGGGTATCGGTGTAAATACCAGAGGAGCCAAACACCAACTCCTCGTAGACCGCACAGTTGCCCGAGACTGCAAAACCCGACACACCAACCTGTGCATGGCTTGGATTGATTACAAGAAAGCCTATGACTCAATGCCGCATACTTGGATCATTGAATGCTTAGAGATGTATAACATCAACAGGACTCTGAGAGCCTTCATTGCAAACTCGATGAGGCTGTGGAAAACCACCCTTGAAGCCAACTGCAAACCACTTGCACAAGTGTCCATCAAATGTGGCATATACCAAGGAGATGCTCTGTCCCCGCTACTGTTCTGCATAGGCCTGAACCCCCTCAGCCAAGTTATCAACAAGACTGGCTACGGATACAGACTCAAAAATGGGGCCAATATCAGTCACCTACTCTACATGGATGACATCAAGCTGTACGCCAAGTGTGAGCGAGACATCGACTCACTGATCCACACCACCAGGATCTACAGCACTGACATTGGGATGTCATTCGGACTAGAGAAGTGTGGTCGGCTGGTCACAAAGAGGGGGAAGGTCATCCACACAGAAGGGGTCTCACTCCCAGAAGGAACAATAGCAGACATAGAGGACAGTTACAAGTACCTAGGTATACCACAAGCAAATGGCAACCTCGATGAGGCCACAAGGAAAGGAGCCACAGCTAAATACCTCCAACGAATAAGGCAAGTCCTGAGAAGCCAGCTCAATGGCAAGAACAAAATCCGTGCGATAAACAGCTATGCCTTGCCAGTAATCAGATACCCTGCTGGAATAATTAGCTGGCCAAAGGAGGAGATAAAAACCACAGATATTAAGACCAGAAAGCTACTAACAATGCATGGAGGGTTCCATCCCAAATCCAGCACCCTGAGACTGTACACGAGCCGCAAGGAAGGAGGCAGAGGACTAGTGAGTGTGAGAACCACTGTCCAGGACGAAACAACTAAGATCCATAAATACATCAGGGACAAAGCCTCAACAGACAATGTGCTCAGTGAATGTCTCAGACAACAGGGAACGGAGGTTGAGGTGCCAGAGATACCATCATGGGAGGACAAACCCCTACATGGGATGTACCACCAGCAAATAACCCAAGTGGCTGATATCAGTAAATCCTACCAATGGCTGGAAAAAGCTGGACTCAAGGACAGCACAGAGGCCCTCATCCTGGCAGCCCAGGAACAGGCCCTAAACACCAGAGCAATAGAGGCCCAGATCTACCACACCAGACAAGACCCAAGGTGTAGGTTGTGCAAGGAGGCCCCTGAGACAGTCCAGCACATCACAGCAGGGTGCAAGATACTGGCAGGGAAAGCGTACATGGAGCGACATAACCAAGTGGCAGGCATAGTGTACAGAAACATCTGTGCAGAATATGGACTGGAAACCCCAAGATCAAAGTGGGAAACACCCCAAAGGTGGTGGAGAACACCAGAGCTAAGATCCTGTGGGACTTCCAGATCCAGACAGACAAAATGGTAATGGCGAACCAACCAGACATTGTCGTAGTGGATAAACATCAGAGGAAAGCCGTTGTGGTAGATGTAGCAATACCAAGTGATTGCAACATCAGGAAAAAGGAGCACGAGAAACTAGAGAAATACCAGGGCCTCAGGGAAGAACTGGAGAGGGCCTGGAAGGTGAAGACCACAGTGGTACCTGTGGTCATCGGGGCCCTCGGGGCAGTAACCCCCAAACTGGAGCAGTGGCTACAACAGATCCCAGGAACAACATCAGACATCTCAGTCCAGAAATGTGCAGTCCTTGGCACAGCCAAGATACTGCGCAGAACCCTCAAGCTCCCAGGCCTCTGGTAGAGGACCCGAGCTCAGAGGATAAGAACCACCCGCGGTGGGTGAGAAGGGAATTTTTTTTTTTTTTTTTATATATATATATATATATATATATATATATATATATATATAATATATATATATATATATATATATATATACCAGTATATATATATATATATATACCAGCGGTAATGGTAATGGTAATGGCGAACCAACCAGACATTGTCGTAGTGAATAAACATCAGAGGAAAGCCGTTGTGGTAGATGTAGCAATACCAAGTGATTGCAACATCAGGAAAAAGGAGCACGAGAAACTGGAGAAATACCAGGGCCTCAGGGAAGTACTGGAGAGGGCCTGGAAGGTGAAGACCACAGTGGTGCCTGTGGTCATCGGGGCCCTCGGGGCAGTAACCCCCAAACTGGAGCAGTGGCTGCAACAGATCCAGGAACAACATCAGACATCTCAGTCCAGAAATGTGCAGTCCTTGGCACAGCCAAGATACTGCAGAACCCTCAAGCTCCCAGGCCTCTGGTGGAGGACCCGAGCTCAGAGGATAAGAACCACCCGCGGTGGGTGAGAAGGGAATTTTTATTTTTTTTATATATAATATATATATATATATATATATATATAGAGCTAATGATAACCAAAAATGTGATTTGTCAGAAAATTTAAGTTTTCCAAGAAGAAATTTGGTCAACTTAAAACTATATGTATGTGCTGATGTACAGACTCTATACTTGGTCAGGCCTAATTTTGCTCTAAGTACTGAATTAGCTTAAAATGGATTGGAAGAAATTAACCGGTGATTGTAAGATGTTGAGAAGTTTGTCTTCCTCAAGTCCAAGCTCTATGAGGTGCTCTACAATGTTATTGTACACAACAATGCTGACTTTGGCCTTGATAAATTGCATTGAACCAGATAGTGATGGCATGACACTTCCGATTTTGCATAAACGTTGCATGCCAGCACGTAACTTATTGGCTTTAAGTTTCAATTTATAGTTTATATGTCAGCAAGATAGCAGGTTAAAAATTATGTGTGTTTTTGTGTGTTCATTTCATACAGTTATAGATCACTGATTATCTACAGAAGGAAACAGATGATGGCAGACCTTTGACAAAGATTGATGTGCTGAAAATGTAGCAAATTATTTTTAGAGAAACCTTTTCATCTAAAATTATAATTCTAAGAAGCCACAAGAGTAGTCTCTAGCTTTCTGTTTGATGTTGAATTATCTTTGGTATATGAGATCACTTTTATCTAGAAACTGCTGTCAGGTTGCTTTGCTTTTTCTTTTAATCTTTTTTTAAAGTTCCCTATAAATAGTATTCACCATCTAACCAAGGACAGAATGTCTTATTT